TAAGAAGGAGAGAACTCTTGGAATATGCACGAAAACGTCGTCATCCAATTTCAAAAGAAACGAGAAATTGCAATACGTTATTGCCCATTCGAAGCCCATTTTTATCTTGTGGGTTTGATTGTAATAGTAGTCATAATAGCTAGCTCGCACAAGGTCTTTAAGAGCTTCGTCTTCCTCCAACAGCAAGTTCGACACTCCTTCATCCCGTGTTTGAGCGACCAGAAAAACTGACGTCCATCTTGGTTTTGCGGATCTTTCGAATGCCCATGTCTTACGAATGTTGTTCCTTCTTTCGAAATTACCTGGAGCGGATGAGATAATCATCAGAAGATCGTAATGTTGCATACAAGATCTCCTGGTTATGAGAAATGTTTTGTGCTTCATTTGCGGGATAGAAGTCGTTGTGAAGCTTGATGAAGATTCCGTGGTTGAGTTTAGTTGATTTATTTTCGGTTCTTGCAGTTGTGTCCACTGCATATATTCTGCGACATCTACTTCTTCGTTAGCGATGTCAGAAAAGGAGGAACGAGTACTCCATTTAAGTCTTAGCTGAAAAGAAACATAAACGGCCACTAAAAAGGCTAAAGCCTTCAAAATATTTTTTCCCCGTTTTAGGATCATTTTTTTCCAGACGCCATATCAGCGTGGAAGACACAAAGGCGGGAGCTTTGGAGCACACCAAGCAGATGCACCAGGTGACGCTTAACCAGGATGCATTGCGGGATTATTGGCCGTTTTCGGTCCTTTCTGTATTTCAGAAAATGACGGCTTACCGTGAGTGAAATATTATTTGAGTAAATCATTGCAATCTTGATCGAGAACTAACATTTTATACCTATTAAGAAGACGTTAAAGAACTTTATAACATAGCTTGTAAATTCGTGCAATCAAATTCAATAGCGGAAGCGTGCTTCAATTTTCCATTGTGCACGCTGGTGACGTCAGCAAACAAATGCCTCGCGAAAAAACTTTTTTCTCGCGAGTGAATGAAGCATTTTTCATTTAAAAACGGTAAAAACTTCCGCAGAAAACTTAAACTAGACATGGCAACAAGCGAAAGAGCCGATGAAGATCTGCCTAATTTAATCTCTTTGCCCGAGAAAGAACCCATAGAAAGGGAAAGCAAAACAATCAACGGTTTCTTCTCGTTTCGGATCTGCAACTTCATTTCTACGCATGAGTTGACCTGTCAGTTTTTGACAGTTTTTTATTAAAAATTAAAAATTAATTTTTAATTAAAATTTTGACAGTTTTCAGATTAAAAATTGACCTGTCAGTTTTTAATCTGAGACAAGATCTTATTTATTCGTGCTATTCCAGATCATTGAAGCATGGCGAAATACTTTTCCGAAACAAAATAAACAACGCATTGAAGCGAAGGAGAGGAAATTTCTGCCCTCTATACATAAACTACAGCGTTTAAAATGTTATAAAACCATTGGTTCATACATCAGCTGTGCGTTCATCCAGATATGAATCACTTGAGAAGTTTGGAGAGCACTCAAGAAGCTAGAGATGCTCTCGGCTACGCCTTGAGCAACTTTTACGCATCTTTCGTGCTCTCCAAACTTCCCGCGTGCTTCATATCTTGATGAACGCATGCTGACGTATCAACCAAATGTTAATTTGCGCGCGCGACTCACGAGCGCGTGCTTTGGGATTACGTAGTTTAATAATACCGTAAGCAAAACACGCGGACCTTTTTAATTTTGACGCGTACAATTTTTATAGAGAAGAGTTGAAAGTTTTTTAGTTTATCGATTGGCGGTTTGTTTAGCGGTCGTTGTTGTATACCGTGAGTCTACAGTTTACCGTGTTGGAATTAAATTGTCTGTTTGGATTTTTCGTTTCGCTTCGGAACATTTTTGGCGACCACGGTCGGAGCAAGGCATGAGCTGTAATTTTGTTTGAGTTTTCGTTTGCGAGTTGAGTTTTGGAGTTGAGTGCTATGGCTTCCGCTGAATCCGAGAATGGCGAAGTTGTTGAAGTTACCGAGAAAAATGACAAAACTGGACCGAGTGGAGTCAACAAACAGAAACAAAAGGACGTTTTGTTGATAGAAAAGAAAACGTAACGCAAAGACGAAATTGACAAAACTCAGACATGAGTTGGAAAACTATGCTTAAGAGATTCAGAAATAACGGACATAGAAAGTGTGATTGAACAGCTGTGGGTAGCTCTAGAGGACGTGCAAGAGATTTAGAGGAAGTGACTGCGTTCTATGTGGAATTCGAAGAAGAAGCTGCAAAAAAAGAAGCATTTGAAGAGTCCGAAACGTACAAAGAACGATTGAAGCGGGTCAAAATGCGATTAAAGTCCGCGCGTCCAAAACCGAAAATATGAACTGGCCATTAAGCGAGAACACTGCGGATGGCTACGAGCAATCGGCCCGAGAAGATCAGCTTAACGAAAGTCACGGCAGCCACGACGACCGGGACTGATATTTGAAGCCGTTAACAGTTCCGACGTTCAATGGTGACAAGAAGAAAGTTTGAAGATTTTTGGGCCCTTTTTATAAGTCTCGTAGAGGAGTCAACGGAGCCAGTTCATAGGATCTCTCTGACCCTAAGCCTATGGCGCAGTCTCGCCTATGAAGCACCGAAAGAAATTTGAAGAAGAACAGCCGCGTCGCCGAAGAATATCAAGCAAACGTCCAAGCCTATTTTGATAATGGATATTTAGGAAAGGTTCCCTCAAACGAACAGCTGCCAGCTAACGTGTGGTATTTACTGCATCTTCCGGTCGTGAGAATGGATAAATCGACAACAAAAGTACGAATCGTACTTGAATGTGCCGCTAAATGTAATGATTCTTCCTTAAATGACATCCTAACCGAGAGCCAGCTGTATTCGAGTTTAATCGTGTAGTTTTTGGGAAGAATTCAGCCCCTATGAAGTCGCAGTTCGTCGCGCAGGAAAACGCTCGAAGAAACCAAGACCGTTATTTCCTTGCCGCTGAGACCGTCCTCAAGTCAACCTATATTGACGAATCTATTGACAGGGTTGAAAACCATGATAAAGGAGTGGAGATCGATATACCGTTAGTTGAAGACATTATGGTGAGTCGCCAGCACGCAAGCTAGGAAATGAGTCTCTAATTCACCGAAAGTTATTGAAGCGATTCCATCAGAAGAACGCGCCGCATAGATTATGATTAACAGCGGTCAAGACCCGATAACGAAGACACTGGGAATTTCGTGGAAAAGTACTGAAGACGTGTTTACCGCTACCGCTTCTCCAGTTTCTCCAGAATTTCAGACAACAAAGCGAAACGTCCTGCGTAAAGTAGCAACGATTTTTGAACCGCTTGGATTAGTTTGCCCGTACGTTATTGATGGCAAAGATTCTACTTCAGGAACTGTGGATGCGAGGTTACCATTTGGACGACGAAGTTAGGGATGAAATAGCCAAAAAAATCGGGGCTTGGCTCGAGCAATTGAAAAGTCTGCATGAGGTGATGATTCCTCGGTGTCTGCGAAGTCCAGAGCCTGTGAAGTCGAAGCACGTTGTGACTTTCGTCGATGCCTCTCAACAAGCTTATCGTGCAGCAGTCTATATCCGCTGCTGATACGATACCGATACTGTAACCAGTCGCCAGATAACAGCAAAGAGCAAAGTGGCGCCACAGAACCCGATGACAGTACCCAGACTGGAACTAATGGGTGCGATTTTGGGCCTGCGCTTAACACAGTCGTTGCTGATGGCCTTAGAAGTACCATTCCAGTGCGTGACGTTTACTCTGACAATACAGATGTTCTATGGTGGATTCGAGGACGCGGCAAGGACTTCCAACCGTTCATAGCCAACCGAATTGGTGAATTACAGATGTTCACTGAGCCGTCGCAGTGGCAGCATGTCTCTATCAAAGAGAATCAAGCCGATTTATGTACAAGAGGGGTCACGCCTTAAGAATTAGCCAAATGTTCCTTGTGGTGGAATGGTCCAGACTGGCTGACAGATGATTTCATTAAGCGGTCAAAGATGAAAGTCCCGGACGGACCTAGTGAAATGCCGGAGACGAGATATTCGAAGAGGAAAGAAGACATTAATGCCCATGCAACCCTTATGACATGTAAACTTCAGAAAGGAACAGCATCGAAACAGAGCAACACGCTAAAAGAGTGGAGACTAGATCCGAAACGGTTTTCCAGCTGGACACGTTTCGTTCGAGTACACGCGAGAGTGAGAGGAGTACTGCAAAACATGCGCAACAGAGACAACAGGAATGAAAGTATGGAACTGTTTCCCGAAGAAATAAAGGATGCAGAAGGAGAAATAGTGCGCTTGGCACAACGCAACGCTTTTTGTAACGAGTACACAGCCTTGAGCTGAGGGAAGCCGATACCAAAGAAAAGCCGATTGATAAAGGTTAACCCGTGCATCGACGACGATAGAGTTATCCGCAGTGATGGTCGATTAAAGTTCGCAGGTTCTCTTCCATAAGATACCAGATTTCCAATCATTCTGTCTCGTAGACGCTGGGTGACGAAACTTATTGTGAAGCACTATCATGAGAGGAAATCATGCTGCTGGAGTAAACTTCACTCTTTGCCAGTTGAGTAAGAGATTTTGCATTATCACCGCACGCGAGGAGATTCGCGAGTGGGATCATGAATGGAACGAGTGTAACGAATGCAAGAGAAGACGAAACAAGCCAGCTTGTCAGATTATGGCCCACTCCCGCAAATGAGGCTCCGTTTCAGCTTTAGACCCTTCGCTCAAACAGCCGTAGATTTTGCAGGTCCTTTCTATACTGTTCAAGGACGCGGACGAACCACGACAGAAAAGGTGGCTGTGCCTATTTACTTGCTTAGAAACACAAGTAGTGCATTTAGAGATGGCCTGGGGACTGGATACCGACACGTTATCAAACGCCTTCGGCCGTTTTACCAGTCACCGTGGAGTTCCTAAAGAAGTGACAAGCGACAGAGGCACAAATTTTGTGGGCGCAGTGGGTGAGTTAAAGAAACTAGTCCGTCAGTTAGACCGAAAACATCTTCAGACAAAGACATTCCAACTTGGAGAGATAGGGAGATTCAATCCATCAGCTGCCCCACATTTTGGAGGAGCCTATGAGGTAACGGTGAAAGCTGCTAAGAAGGCCACTTACGCTGTTGTGGGAGAACGGGACGTGAACGACGAGAAGCTGATCACCGTGTTCGCAGGGGTGGAGTCCCTTCTTAATTCCCGTCTGTTGACTTATCACGAGACGATGTCCCATTGACACCTAGCCATTTCTTGCACGGCCAAATGGGAGGACAGTTCGATCCTGGGGCCGTTGAAACCACTACTTTGCATCCGCGTCAACGATGGCGAAAAGTTCAAGACATTATTTCACGAGTGTGGAGGAGATGGCTCAAGGAATTTGTTCCAGCCCTTAACAGTCGACCAAAGTGGACTTCAGAATGCCGAGACCTAAATGTTGAGGATGTGTTTCTTGTAATTCAGCCCGATACCCCAAGAGGACGTTGGCCATTAGGACGGATTGTTGAAGTGTATTCTGGACGAGATGGCCACACCCGAGTAGCTAAAGTTGCGTGTGGTGTCAAGACTGTCATGAGAACGATTAACAAACTGGTTCCGCTTGGAATTAACTGTTAATTGTTTAGTTGGAAACGCACTAGGACTACCT